GTACAGGTACATTTACCATTTAACATTACCATAAAGATTGAAAGTGGAGGTAACAGTTAGCCTTGATCACACACAGAATGTTAACATTGTCGACTTTCGGACAGAAAACTGGTCAGTTATATTTTCCTCATCAGACATTTATTACACAAAGAGCACATTTTATCCAACATGTAACAGCGTCAACGTGGTCCCTGACAGCAGCATTTATGAGTCTGTCTCCATGTTTCCTCAGTCGTCTCCTCTGTCGTCAGGTGTGTATGGATGGTCAGGTGTGGCCGACACGGCGGCAGTAGCAGATGGCATTGAAGAAGCGGCAGTAGCAGGTGTCACAGGGGTCGCAGCAGGGCAGCGGGTAACCCAGACAGGACTGCTGGTGGGGGATGCAGCGACGAGGTGAACGCATAGCCCGACCCTGCAGCTGCAAGGCTGCTGCCGAATCCTGGAAAACAGGGAGGAAGTGAATGGAAACAGGAAGCAGATATATTCACTGCAGTACCTGTTCAGAACAGGACGGTTGTTTGGCTCCCAGTAGTGCAGCTGCTTGAACCGATCTCATCTGATCACATCTCATCTGATCCACTCTGCACTGCTTCAGATCCTCATCAATACACTGCCAAGTGTAAGCTTGATCAGATTTAATGGCTCTCAGACACACAGATTCCTTCTTTTATAGTTTCTTTTCCCTCACAGTGTTTTTCCACCAAAGTAGTTGTGGTTCTTAAACCGGTTCAATCCAAGACTCCTGGAACCTTGGTTCTATCTGGAGAACCAGCCAAGAGTAGTGTGAGTGAGGGACACTGTCTCTCTGTGTCTCAGATGCTGTTTTTATTGTCCCCGGGACAACGGGACGTTCATTCGTTCAAGCACTGGTTAAATGATGCTGCTACAGTAAAACCTATTGGTCAAATGGCAACAAGTTTAACATTTTCGTAAGGGTAAAGATTGACAGGCAGTATGTATATACAGTACATTCAATTCAGGCACTGAGTGGGATGTACTGTATGTTTAAGCCACACCCACCTCGTCATAGGACACTGCGTCCATTAGGAAATGATCCTCCACTGAGTCAACAGATAGGAGGGCGGGGTCATGCACAGGGTCAGTGGCGTGGCTTCTCTCTGCTGGACCGGAGACAGAAAACAGACCTGCTGTGATAAGGCACACAATGAGTTTCCTTTCACTCAATAAGCGCTACATGGACACTATTTTCTATCCAAACTACACCCACCAACCATATCACTGTGCAGAAGGAAGCTAACGTTACAGCTCAGGTAAGAAGGATGCCATTTATGATATATCTTCTCATATCTTCTGCACAGTTATACGTAGAGAGAAAATAGTTCCCACTTGAAACTGCTCACAACAAAGTCTGTGGATTATCTTGAGAAACTGGTCATGATTTCTAGAAAGAGACGTTGCTGTTGAAGGTTTTTTCTGGTGCTTTGAACTCAACAAGCCGAGTGCCATCCAATGAGGACATCAATGAATGTAGAACATGTAAAATATGCTTTTTGTAATATTTATAAAGATCTAAATACAGTTCAGAGGACCCAGGATGCCGCTGTCTCCAAGGTCTTGCTCAT